GCTCTCGCTCTCGCTCTCCCTCGGTCTCTGTAGTAGTGGAGTTTGAACCTAGGCCCTTGCACATACTAGACAAATGTTCTACTCGCTCTCGCTCTCCCTCGGTCTCTCTAGTAGTGGAGTTTGAACCTAGGCCCTTGCACATACTAGACAAATGTTCTACCACTGAGCTACAGCCCCAGCCGAAGATGCTGACCTCTAATTGTACTGATTTGGAAAGTGTTCCAGGCCATATTATTAACAAAAAAGGTAAGGGACTAGAGAGATGGCTCAGCGGTTAAGAACACTGGCTGTTCTTGCAGAAGACCCTGGTTCGAATCGCAGCACCCACATGGCAGCTAACAGCCGTCCGTAACTCCAGTCCCAGGGAATCCGACAACCTCTTCTGTCCTCTGTGGGCATTGCACGAAACGGGTGCACTTACCTACACACAGGCAATACACGCATACACATAAAATAAAAACAATAAATAAAATATTTTTTTAAAAAAAGTCCCATTGTGTCCCACAGATCTCTAGTGCGCCGCCCTCCCCTCCCCGCAGCCCTGCGTTCATCCGCCGCACCTTCTTCACTGCGATTCTACCAGGATCTCTAGGTTCAGGGCTAGGCTCAGTGCGCGTGCGCAGATCCTGCCACGGGTGTCCAACTTAGTGCCTGATCGTTGTTTTCTCTGCTGCGCTCTGCGCGAACTTGTCAGCCAGGGCGGGGCTGCAGGAATGTGGAGTGCGTTCCCAGGCCTCTAGAGCCTCTCGGGGCATGAGGGGTTCCGGGGACGGCGGGGTCCGGCGGCGCGCCGGGCAGCCCGCTGTGTGGGGCGGGGCGGCGGGGCTGCGGGCCGGGTCGGCAGGCAGGTCTTGGGCGGCTGTCGGCGGTGGGGCTGAGCCGGGCGCGGAGCCCTGACAGCAGGTACGGAGGCGGCGACCCTGCCAACTGTCTGGTCCATGGGCCCGGGACCTCGTGCGAGGGCCTGCTGGGGCCGGGTCTTGGCTGGGCCCTGGCCTGGCCTGGGCCTGGGCCTGGGCTCGGGGTCAGGCGGGGTCAGAGGGTGGGCCGCGGAGGGCGGCGCTCCGACTGGACCTGGGGCCACCCAGCGCTGCTCTCCCGGCTGACCCGCCGGCCTGGCTCCTCAGCCCGGCAGAGTCCGCCCGGGGCACTCAGCACTGCAGCGAGCCCCTGCGCCTTGACCCATAGCGAGCCACAGGATTCCTGTGGACACATGTTAAGAGAAAAAACTAATTCATTGAGGGCTCCAGCGTGTGGGGAGGGGCATCTGGAAATGGGCTTGGGGGGCTCCCTGATCTGTGGTCTGACCTGTCTGGCAAGATGACACATACTTCATTGCAGACTGGACCATAACGAAAGCACAAAGGTGCGAACTCTGATGTTTTTAGGGGCAGATTTTTGAGAACTGAGCTCTCATTTATGGCAGCGAGGAGAGCTGGAAGCCCCTTTGACCACTTGCTTCCTAGGTGTACTTAGGGTACAGAGTTGAGGAGCTGTGACAGAGATTGATATTGATAGCCTGGTGTGCTGCCAAAGCCTGAAGTGCACTATATAAAAGAGATAATGATACCTTAAAAAATCATGTGTATGCCTGGCTGTGTGTTTATGCATGTATGATTGCAGGTGCCCTTGGAGGCCAAAAGAAGGCATGGGATCCCTGGGAACTGGAGATTATTGTGAATCACTTAGCATGGGTGCTGGAAACCTAACCTGGGTCCCCAGGAAGGGCAGCAAGTGCTCTTAAGTTGAACGCTTGGCTCAAGCCATCTCTTCAGCCCTGATAACTTTACATTTAAAAGACATTTTATAGTCAGATAGATTCTAAAATCATGGTTCAAGTTTTCTTAACTACAGACCATTTCAGAGCCTTCAGTACACTCGGTATTTATCATGGGTCTCCAACTAGGGTATACATGGAGAATTTCCCAGAGTTCATTGGGAAATACTGTTTCTCTTGTGTGGTGCCTCGGTTTAACATTTGGAACAGTTGGGAAATGCAGAAATTCACCATGTAAAAGGAGCAGTGTAGGTCAGTGCTTTTTGAACATTAGTGGGGCATACATTTAATAGAGTCTTGTGAAAATAAAGAACTGATGCTTTGCACTTTTTAAATATTTATTTTTATTTTATGTCTGAATATATTGCCTGCCTGTATGTAAGTGTGCCCGTGCCCGTGTCATGCAATGCCCACAGAGTTCAGAAGAGGGCATTGGGTCCTCTAGAACTGGAGTTATGGACAGTTGTTAGCTGCCATGTGGGTGCTGGGAATTGAGCCCAGGTCCTCTGTAAGAGCAACCAGTGCTCTTAACTGCTGAGCCATTTCTTTAACCCCTGTGTTTGGCATTTGTAACAAGTTCCCTGGTGATGCTAATGCTCCTGGTCCAGGAACCAGACTCAGTCTTAAATCACTGGATTGAAAGTCAGTTACCTTTTGCTGCCTCCTCTTGGAACAAACTGCTGTCTTGGGCGAGTCACTTTATCTGTTCAGATCTTAAGATAGTGTGGACTAGATCTCTCGGGCTTCTTTCATATCTAAAATGTTGGGGCACTAGTCAGTTACTCTTACTGTAGTATTGTATTCCCTATAAAATATTCTTGTCACTTTGAAAATTTTGCAATTTGGCTTGAACATTTCTAGATGTAACTAAATATAATCCCCCCCCCCCGCCTTTTCTCTCCTTCTCTCCCTCTCTCCCTTTCTGGTTTTTTTTTTTTTTATTATAGAGTATCATGTAATACAGCCTGGGCTCAAACTCACTATGTGGCTAAGACTGGCCTTGAGCACCTGCTTCACCTACCTCTACTTCCCAGGTGATGAGATTCTAGGCACAAGTCATCTCATTTTATTCCTAGGATAGCACACTAAGGATGCTCTTTAGGTTGGTGAAAGACACCTCTGCAACTTATATGCTGGTTGTCCTAGGTTATCTCTAAGAATGAAATTGAAAAGTAATCTCTTTTTTAAAAGTTGACTCTTAAGCCATGTGTGTGATACATGCATGTAATCCCAACACTTGGAGGCAAAGGCAGGAAAATGACTATGAGTTTGAGGCCAGTCTGGGCAACATAGTGAGCTCAAAGCCAGTCTTAGCTACAGATAAGGCCCTGCCTAAAACAAACAAACAAACAAACAAGAAACTGAAGGAAGCCAAGGAGAAACAAAAACAAAACCTTTAAAGCGTTAGATGTCAGATACTGGACATGGTGGCACATGCCTTTAATCCCAGCACTCAGGAGAAGGCAGAGGCAGACTGATCTCTGTGAGTTTGAGGCCAGCCTGGACCTCATAGTGAGTTCTGAGACAGCTGGGGCTATAGGGAGAGCCTGTCTCAAAAAAAAGCATTAGATGCCACATATTCCTAGATTTTCTTTCTCTCTTCAAACTGAATTGGTTTCTTCTATAATTCTTCTATCATGGGGTTTTTT